TTACTTGAATAAGTTTTATTTAAACTATGAATACTTTTTTTACACTTAAGGAATATTTAAATGGAAACCTGATTGCATTTTCTGCTATATCTTAGTGTAAGTCAAGGCCCATGTACAAAATCCAAAGCTGTCTTATCCCTCCTGAATTGGTTATTTTTCTACATTCGGGATGTAACTTCTTGTTGCAAACTTCTGCATTGTTGAATATTTTCTATCCTTTTATAGTCTGTTTCCTTTCCATCTCAGTGCTACTCTTGGGTCTGATTTATAACCAATGTAATCTGCATTATATACTGTCCTAAACTAGAGCCTGGGCAGACTCATGAAATAGCAGGAAACTGTCTTTGTCTTTGAAGCACTACAGTATTTTATTTTTGTGTCTGTTTAAATAATTGTGCCAGGAAATGCATCTTATACAGCCACTCTGGATAAGCAATATATTGTACTGTAAATATAGCAGTTGTTGTCACAACCTGGAGTTAAAATGTCTGGATGGTAACTAGTGCCTGTCTAATATACCTTGGAAAAGAGCATAGGCCTTCCTCCTATGGTGCTGTTACAAAAAAATTATTACCTGTTTTGATTCTGGGAAGTTGTGAAATATGGTGGACAAAATGTTGCTATGTCACATTGAGACCCAAACAGTGGGTTTTGGTTTCTCTGTAAAGGATGTCCTTAAAACTCATGGGGTTTGGCTTTCAATGTAATTGTAAATAGGTGAAACTGTCTGTGTGTTTGTGTCTGAATTCCGTGTGGTGGTCCTAGGGCTGAGAGGGCGGGAGAGGGGATGCAATCAGGTGCCACTAGTTTTTGCTGACTGAAACTCACTGTAAATTAGTGAATGGTGTGAATTGCAGCCTGGCTGAGGTGTTGGAAGTGAATGAAAACTATTGGGATCAGCATCGGCCTCATGGGAATGACTGAATAAATGCAATAAAAGGCTCATAGTCAACACTATTACTTTGTTCATCACTTATTACAGATTTTTTGTTAAAAACTTGAGTACATGAATTATGTAATTTGTAAAATGATGCTGTAGTGGAGACCTTGCTACAACACTATTAAAAATCTTCTCTCTTTGTGCAATGAGGTTTGTAGAATAGTGAGATTCTTTTGGATGTTGAATCTTCCTGATGGTGGGAGTGCTGGGGTGGTGTATCTCACTGTGAGGTGGTACTTCGCTCTTTGCATAACATGGCAGTTCTGTATATTCTTTTGGCTAACTGTAAATATAAATGTTTCATAATAGCTTAGTTGAATTTTTGAGGTACAGCTGTTTGTGTGAGATTAGAAAAAAAAGTTTATTTCTAAGAACTTGTAAAAAAAATAAAGTATTTTCAATAAAATTCCCTACCTCACCTCTATTGTGCAGAAATGATCCCATTTTCCTATGTTTAATTTTTCCAACTTCATTAGTAAACACTGAGATCTCCTGTCAATTATTGGCAAAGTGTTGCTGGTTGTCATCAAATCACTCAAATAATGGAGTGCAGGAAAATCTGAACTCTTGTTTCCTTTATTTCCATTACATTGATCAGGTATTTGGTACCTGAAAAGCAAATTCTAGACATTTTGTGCTATCTTAAGCTGCTCCTTCTCTGTAGCCTGTGCATGGTAGTAACAGTGTGTGATGGTGGAGGGGTTTTTCAGTATTATTCTCTTTTTAGCAGTGAGGGGGTGGGTGACATTGCTACACCATGCATTCTTCCTTACAGGGAAGGGTTCCCAATCTTTGTTTTGCAGGGAAAGTGGCTGGACAAAGACTTTGTTTGCTTTCTTTAATTTGATGTAAATGCACACAAGCATTAGTTCTAAAAATTTGTCTTGAGCCTTGGAAGTTATGCCAGACTGAACTAGCTAGTTAATTCCTCCTTTCTCTGAAAGGCTTAACTCCTTAAATCTTAAAGAGAGAATTAGTGCCAGGAGTGTTCTCTCCCATTGCTACTGGGAGTGACTGTTTCTCTGGCTTCTGAAGTGGATATAACAAATCCAAACTAAATTGATAACCTTGATACTCAGTGCTTGGGTTTGACTCCCGTGTGTTCCTGCACTTGGAACAGCAACATTGGTGTTGCCATAGTTCAGGCATTGTGTTCTTTGACAACACCTCTAACATTCCTTAGCTGTGCCGTGGTGCAGGTCCCTGTGGGGAGGGACAAACGGGACAGAAGGCACCGGAGTGTGTCCTGGGGGCCCTTCCTTGGGAGAACTCTGGTTCGTTGCCTGTGTGCAAGAACCAGAGCTTTGATGGGAGTGGTGTAGAAATTGCATCGGTTCTCACTGGAACAGCACTAAATTTGAACCTTAATAATCTCAAGAGACTCTTGTGCTTTCGGGGACCAGGCTCTGCTTCCTTGGAAAGAGAGGTAGATGGGTGCATTTTTGGATGCAAATTTTTCCATGCTACAAGCGCAGTGTAACAGCTGGGTTGGCCTGCCTGTGGCCCCGCCCTTTGAGACGTGAGCCGTGGCTCCCGTTACGGTGTCAGAGAAACACTGGTACCCCTAGAGTCATGGACAGGGCTGTGTCTTCAGCTGCTGAGATTTCAGCTCCAAATCCTGAGGAAACCTGCAGTAACAGCAGGTGCTTGGCAGGCTGCTTGCACTGATTTCAGAAAGGAAGGCTGTAGCCTTTAAACCAGCAAAGCTCTTACACTAAATAATGAAGCAAAGTGTGACCCTGCTCACTGAGTAACTCAGTCACATGAAAAAAACCCAGTTTTCAGGATTTCACATTCTTTCCCCTTGTTACATTGGATACCTGTAATTAGGCACCTGGATTTTGGTGTGAAAATCTCTGATGTCATCAAGTAAGAAATATGCAAAATTAGACTTGTTTCTAGGCTGCTCCACCACACTGGCTCAGCCAAGCAACCCAAGGCTCCCCAGATTAACACAGGGCTTGGTTTGGCTGTGCTGGGCCCTGAGCTCTGCTGCAAGCACAGCTCTGATTCAGCTGAAATACCTTTGTTGCAAGTGCTGGCCTTAAACTGACACCTCATTCTTGAAGTCTGGTTAAACAAAAGCAAAAATGTGCTTTCACATTTTGATTAAAAACTCAGGTTCAAGTTTTACAAACCTCTAATGACTGTTTTGAGTGTAATTAACTGGATTAAACATGACAAATTGCAAATAACTGGTAACCTTAATACTGGAGAACCCTAACAAGAGATGTTTTGCTTGTAAGCTGTGCATAAGAAGGGGGGTTTGTAATGCTGACCTTTCTTTAATTAATTATATACTCTAGAGCATTCCCATTCTTTCCTTGCTTATGACTCTCATCTCAGTTTCATTTCATGCTAAATAAACCCTCATATTTACTTTGCAGCTTTGTTGAAGAATCTACCTTAATCTGAGAAGAATTAGTACACATCATGGAATTACGTACATCCCACTAGAGCTCACATGCCCAGGCTCCTGCCTTTATTCTGCAAGGTACTTGAACGTGAAGATAGTTTAACGTGATGTTGCCATGGATGTCTGGCATGAGCACCAAGTGATATTCCTCAAAAAAGGACTGTTAACTGCTTGAACTTTGAAGATTACTGTGATGTTAGGATTACTCTTATACTGGCATAATGTTCTGTCATTGTTATGTGACATTATACCTACAGAAACTATTAATAAAGAATTTTGCTAGAAATACTGATTTCTCTTTGCTTTTATAAAGTTTAGACAACTCTCTGAAGTCAGGAGGCTGACTGACTACTGGAATAAAATAAAGTTTGAAAGCTATTTAAGTAACTAAGATGTTCAGCACTCTGAGGAAAGTTGGATTTATAATGTTCACGTTACATCAGAGCTCACACTGACGTCAGTGTCTTGGATTCTTGAGAGCCCAGCTCTGAACAGTTGTAGGGCTTAGTTTTAGTGCCTCTCTTCCTGGAGCCTGGGTGCTCACAAAGTCTAAAGATTTACCCCATTTCGATAGGAAGAAGCCAAATCAACAAAAGGACATTCTAACTACTAATATCTGCTTTTTTTGCTTTATTAATACTTAATAATGCTTTTTAGATTTTGTTTAATTTTGTGCAGTTAGTTCTGCTAAGTGTAAAGACTATTGGAATGCAGAGGGCTCTGTTCTGTCATCCAGTCACAGACAGTGCTCACTCCAGTGGTCAGAGAAACACTTCATGTTTTCAGTGATACCAGCACCCCATGGGGACGGTAAGGAAGACAGAGCCAGACTCTGCAGTGTAGCAGTGACAGGACAAGGGACAACAGGACAACTTGACCTGTCAGATAGACTTCAAACATAAAATCACTTTTTCCATGAGGGGGTTAAAGACTGGAGCATGTTGCCTGGAGTGGCTGTGGAGTGTCCATCCATAGTCAGACTCAAAGTCAATGGGACAAGGGCCTGAGCAACCTGCTTCAGTCAGCCCTGCTCTGAGCAGTGGGGCTGGACCAGAACATCTCCTGAGCCCCTTCCTACCTCAAACTGGGACCTGAAAGTGCCCATAAAATGCACTATTTCATTTAAAACAGGCAGTTCCAGGGTTTAGAGATAATTATCTAAATAATTATCTAGATAATTATAGATAATTATCTAAGTGTCTTGTGGAGGTACAGGGCCTCAGGAACACAGGGCTGATCAATGTATGTAAAAAACTTACCAGCTAGAGACTGAAGTGCCCATCCAGTTAAACAAAAGGGCCCAGATGACTGAATAAAAGCCTCAGTACCTTTCATGCCAGTAGATTGTCTGAGGAACCTGTGGGATCCTCACACCCATTACTCATCTCCAAAGTTGCAGAGCTCTCTGCCCATAGCTCTTTCCATAGGATTTTACAGACATTCCAGCTTACCTGGCCTCTTGCATGCCAGTGATGGTGACTTTATTTTCCCTTTAAGTCTCTCCAAATACAACACAACGTGGCCTTGTGTTCACAGTGAAGGACAGGCAGTGCAGAGCAGGTACTCTTTAATCACTGCTGCCTAATAACAGACTCCTTGAACACGACTGCTCCTCAGTATTTCTGCTGTCACACAGAGTCCAGTTCCTTCTGGTCTTTTCTCCACAACTGAAAATCTTTTCCATGGAAAATAAACACTCATTTGGCAAGAGTTGTGAAAAATTCACTGTCCTCCTTTCACAAAGGGATGGTCCAGCAACTGCAGAGCAGAAGGCCGTTGGTGTTGATCTCTGCATTGAAGGTTCCACAAATCAGTAATTAATATGTATGCCTGTGATGTAATTGTAAAATCTTAATTGCAAAATTAGCCTTTATTATTATTTATCCATTCACTACTCACTTTTAAGGTTTTTTTTTTTTAATAAAGTTGATAGAAAGGAAGGGAGGCTTGGAGGGAAAAGACTGTTGGAATTTATTAATTACAAAATCGAAATATTTTATTATTAAAGAAATCATTACTTATTCCCCTGAATTCCTTGCATATCTTTGAATAATTCTGCTGATTTGGCTATTTTAGCTGCATCAAAAATGTATTTAAGAAAGGTGATAATTATCTGTTTGAGCCGTTGTCAGTCAGATTGTCCTCTCCTCTCCAATCAATGTCATGAATTTTTAGAAGCCCATGGTTTTGTTTAAAACCAAACAAATACCACAAAAATAATTCTTATAATGTGTGTATGCCAGTGGTTTGGGGTTTTACAGAGAGAACTTCATGTTTCTAGTAACTATTATGTTTCAAACAAGTATGTGTTTCCTGGACTGGCAGTGATAATAAATTTTTCCACTGCAGAAGACAAGAATTAAATGAAATTTCTTCCATTTAGAATACTGTCCTTAAGACAACTTGTCTGACATAGACCAAACTCAAACAATACTGCAACAGCAAAGCACAGCAAAGAAATTTATCAACTGTTTCGTTCAAAACTCAACGGTGCCATGTTTCTGTATGAAAATTACAGGGAAAGTAAATTATGAGTATAAGGCCTACAAAAAGAGAATCTTTGAGTGTCGAGAGTTTAGCTAAAGAATAGCTGCACAGCAAGGGACACGAAAAAGTTAAGTTGATGAGAGTGTGAGAATACGTGACTTGTAGCATGAAAACTATGACCTTGAGAAACAGATGTCTCCTTACAACCTTGAGAAACAGATATCTCCTAACAACCTTGAGCATACAAGTGTCCCGTTAAAAATGAAATATTGCTTAGTATGCAGAAAAGTAATCAAGTATAAAGAAACAGTAACTGCAAGGCTTATCGCAAAGAGATATATGTGTTAATAGAAAGGTAACCAATCCTGAGCTTTGCTTTTGCAATATGTATGAACTAATTAGTGCTTGTATAAAGAAACTGTAATCAACTCCAATAAACTGAAACTTGTTGATCATGACAGCATGAAGCTTGTTTCCCGCGACAATCTCACCAACATTTGAGGGCTTTTTTATACCATTATAAAGAGTAAAGCTCTTTTATATATACTTTTATCTAAAGGCTTTCCTGAAATGCTGAAAAGCCTATGCATTTACAATAAAGTCACATGTACCATAACCTAAGCTGCCATGAGCCACCTCCAGAATACAAACCAGCTGCACCCTCCCTTTCCCTCTCCAGTTCAGCGCCTCCGTACCTGGTTAAGCAGGCGTGCACAAACTCCACGGCAGCGCTGGAGAAGCGGTCGGGCAGGGCCGGCATCAGCCCCCTGTGGGCCCCGATGTAGAACATGGCCGCCACCCTGCCCATGGAGGCCAGAGGGGGTTTGCCTGTGGCCATCTCGAACACGGTGCAGCCGACGCTCCAGATGTCCGATTTCCGGCCGTAGCCGCAGTCGGCGATGACCTCCGGAGCCATCCAGTAGGGAGTGCCGTGCACGGAGCGGAGCAGCTCGCTGCCGGTGCCGCTCAGGCTGGCCCAGGCCAGGCGCCGGGCACAGCCAAAGTCAATCAGCTTGATTACCCCGGTGGGCATGAGCATCACGTTATTGCCTTTGATGTCTCTGTGGACCACACAGTTGTCGTGTAAATATGCAACCCCTTGTAGAATTTGCTTGGTGTATTTACGCAGGACAACTTCTGGCAACGGGCCGAAGCGATTCAGAATACTGGAAATGGAGCCACCAGGAACAAATTCCATGAATATGCTTAAAATGTTGTCTTCCAGGCAAGTTCCTAAATAAGTTACAATATTTGCATGCTTCAACGTCTTCAAAAGATCAACTTCCTCATGGAACTTCTGATACTCCTTTTCTGTAGTGAGTTGATCTGATGTCTCCAAAACCATCTGTTTTACAGCTATTAACTGGCCCTGGCTTGTCAGACCACAGTACACCTACAGTGAAACCAGCACTTATCAAAACAAGACACGAGACTAAACTTGTATATTTACTTATTTTAAATAGAATCTTTGTGCTTGTCATGTTTCATATTTCCCTGTATAATCTAAAATATTTAACCCATTTGTTGAATAGAACAACAGCTATTTTTGAGATAAAGTGTAGCTCAATGACAATCAACACATCTCAACATATTCACACGATAACTTACCGTGCCATAGGCTCCCTTTCCAAGGACTTCTCCTCTTGTCCAAATGATAGGATCTTTGGTAGCTAAACTGCTTCTTGGGAATTTAGTAGATTCATCATAGTTCAGAAGGCCATTTTCTTCATTTGAAGCCAAAAAATCTTTACTGCAATTCTGCTTGAAAGATGATGGTCAGTGTGGGGAGAAAGCAGAGAGGAAAAGACAGGCTTCATTTGGTCCCCCATTTTTTCACAAGAAGTCATTTTTCCTGGCATGACTTTACTTTATAGATTTATATATATAAATTGCCCAGGTCATTGATAGAATTGCTATACTAGGTAAAAGTGTATAAATATTTTCAAGTATAAATCACAACAGTGCATAACCACAACATCTTCTTCCATTGATGCCAAGACAGAAGAGCACTTAAAAGAGCAGGATACACTCTCTTTTTTGGTCTCATAGGTACAGTTTGCTAAGCTGAAGGGTGAATATGGCTATTATCATGCTCTAAGTAACACATGTTACACAATTCTGATGAAAATAACATGCCATCACTTCCCAGGAAGAAGAAACTGCTTCAGAAAGATGGCAATAATCATCCTATCTAGCTATGGGTTTCCCTGGGAGAAGTGAGAACAGAGCTATTATTGGCACCTGTGTCTGCAGAAGAACAAGGGAGTGTATCAATATGTAGTGAAAGACATTTCCTTACAAATTTGTAATTTATGTGGACAGAGAGCTAACAGGACCAAGAAGAAGCAGTACTGGTAGAGAAACACCTGAGTAGGTGAAGGCATGCAGCTGAATTTGGGGCCAAAATCTGAGCCTTCTGCGCTTTAATTAAAGCATTAATTAAAGTGAATAAGTCTGTCTGATAAACAAATACTTATGGTTCACATCTATAAAAGTATCTAGCTGCACTCAGAGACTCAAGGTAATCGCCCTTCTGGATATGCAAGACTGTTTGTAGAGTCTTTTCGTATTCCTGTACAGTTCTCCAGCTCTTGCCTTGCCCAAAACCTTTTTATACAAGGTCTTCAGTTAAAACAGCTTATTCTCTTTATTCACTACAATTCCTCAATATATATAAGCTTTGGCAGCTATTCCCATCATGCCCTAATACCTTCTGGCTTGTGTCCTGACATGCAGCCTTTAACACAGATCTATTCAACAGAGCACTGGAAGAATCAGTGGGCAGCTGGCCCAAAGAAAAAAGACTTGATAAATCTCTTTAATAAGCACATATTTCCCATTTTTCATCCAAACATGTGTGAAGCATCACTCAAATGATTTAGCAAGTTATAAGAAGAAATTACTTTTACCTTCTCTAGAGCACTATTTATTATTGCTCCAGCTCCATTCATCATATTCTTCTCTTCTTCACTCTGTGTGTTTTGTATTTTAGAACATGTATTTTTTGTTCTTGAAGAGTTTATGTCTTTTTCTTCAAGCATTAGCAATTCTTTGGCCAGGCAACAAAGCAACTCATCAGTCACATCCTTAGTATCTGACCAGGAAGAAATGTTTTGACTTGTCTGGGAACTGGGGCTTTTGGCATTTTTTGTCCAAATCACTGAAGCCTGAGTCAATTCATTTGCCAAACTACTGTTTCGAGGTGTGTTTGCACAACTGTGATCTAATATTTTTGTAGGGGACTGACATTCCAGTCCATCTGAAAAGAGCAACTCGCTTTTATTGACAGACTTGGAGTCCTGGTGTGATTCCCAGCCTTTGCCACCATCCCTCCTGCACTGGGGCACGCAGGTGCTCTGCTCTGCTGTTACCTGACTGCCACTTGGAGCAACACATTCTCTGCAGTCTTGATCACTGAACTGAAGGAGATCCTGGCTGCAGGCAGCAGCCCTCTGATGGCTGGATTTATCCTGGCTGTCTAACAACTGCTCCAAAGAAACTTCTTTAATAGTTGAAAGGTTTGAATTTGTAAATATTTCATTTTGCTTAGTTGCCTGTGAAAGCTTGGCTAAAACTGTGAGCTGATCGGTGTTTCTGTGAAATAATGTTGTGCTACTCAAGGTGTGTGTTTGAAAATCCAAGTCAGAAGCTGTTGCATTATCTTTCTCTGTGTTGCTGTCACTCAGCTTGGTCCTTCTGTCCTTGGTGATTAAATCTTTCTGCTTTTGTTTAGCACCAGGTATGGTCTTCTTTGGCTTAGAATGTGATTTCTTTTGAGTGTTTCTGACTCTGCTGCTTTCTCCTCCTTTACTGCAGGTAGATCTGCAGGTGCATCTTCCTGGTGGAACAGAATAAACACCTTTATAAAACCTGCCCTCGTGCTGGTCAAGGTCTCTCATGCGGGAATAGACAGGAGTTCCAAACATTTCATAAATACCTGGGCCTTGGTCATCTGAATTTATTATTTTGAACATGTCAGTGTAGTTCAGATCTACAAAATCTGAAGCAGAGGGTGCATGTGGCAGACAAAGAGAAGTACCATGTTTCTTTAAGACAGCAGAACTTTTGCAACTGCAGGAGCAACTTTGCTTTTTAATTTTCTGCATACTCTGAGGAACATGGCCTTTGTGTCCTTGAGTAGTTTTTTTCTGACACTTCATGGAAGCCTCAGATTTCACTTTTGTCGGTTCCAAAGATGGAAAAAACTGACTCTTGGCATTTGATTTTGTGGTAACCTCACCAGAAGCAATTAAGTCTTCAGATACTTTCATCTTATTAATTTTAGATTTTGATGAATATTTATTTCTAGTCATCTTTATTTTATTGTTGTCATTTTCTTTGTAAGCAAAACCATTGAGTTTCTGAGGAACATGAGGAGGCAGGGTACAGACCTCACCCTTTTTTGTGGCAGGTTGTTCAGCAATGTGTGTTTCCCTGGCTGGCCCTTGTTCAGAGAGTGTAACATGAGCAGCAGCTACAAGCTCACGTTGGTCCTCTGAAGTTGCTTCTGACATTGCTTCTTTTTCTATTTCAAATTCAGAGACACAGACTTGATTGTCTGACTGTTTTCCAGAGGGATCTTGAACTTCTACTCTGGGAATTACTGCAGCTACAGAATTATCTTCCAAGGCTTTGTAGGCCTCTATTACTTCATTTTTACAGGAAGAATCTAAATCCTGATTGTAAAGCACAAGGTTGGCACTCTCAGCATCTTCCTGTGGTTTATAATCCAGCATCAACTCTGTAGCATTTTCTTCTTCCAGACCAGTGCTACAGCAATTCTCTGCTCTGTTTTGCTTGTTGCCAGCTCTTGAGGCATTGCTGTAGCCAGACACTGTAAATGCTGTCTGGGCTGTAAACACGCCACAGCTCACCAGAGCATTGCTTGAGCCCAAGAGAGAATGACTCTGATCCCAGAACCTGGCTTGGGTCAGAAGATCCATATTCTCACAAACCACTGAACACTGGAATTTCACCTGATTCTTCTCAGTGTGGATTGGTACATCAGCTTCCCTCCATTTTAAATGGCTTTGGATTTCTTCCTTCTTGTTGTTGGGGTACTTATCACAGTTGTTAATGCTGAAGTAGTACAGGTCCTTCACTGGAGTGAACTTATCAGAAATTGTGGCCATGATCAATTCTGATGACTTTTCACCGAGCCCATTTAATAAGTTGTCTAACTGATACTGATACAATTTAGTAACTGGTTTTATAGGCTGAGGAATAGAGTTCATAATATTGAAAATATTTTTGATGTTTATGCTTTCATTGACATCCTTTAGAGGAGCAAGATGAATTTTTCTTACAGGCTGATATGTCACTGGTGGCAAATGAAACTGTAATTTCCATAAAAAAACATTAATAATCTGCTACACCACAGATACAGGTAAAAACTAATCTCTAAGAGACAAGTAGTCTTAGGAAAAAAAAAACCTAGAAAAAATATTATTATTTTATATATTCCTATATTAAACCTATTATGAAGTATAATATCAGACTCCTAAGAAAATACATTATTTTTCTCACATTACTTGCATTAATTTTCTCAGACCCAGAACTATGTCTAAGTATTTCTTAGTTCAAAAAGTGGGATCTTTTGCTTTAAGGCACAAGTAATTTGCCATGATTTAGAACCAGAAAGTTTTGTCCACATGTACAAATCCTCTTGTCAGTTATTAACTCTGTCTAATGGCACTTCACATGTTTGCTCCAGGAATTCAAAGGCTGGGCAGTGGTTTAATGTGCCAGAGCTCCTCTCCTGCTGTGCACACTCCCTGAATGAGAGCACCACTCTAATGCTGATGTTTAAAATCTTTTTATGTAACCCTCCAACATGTGCTGACACCATTAATTATATTCCCAGTGGAACTAGAGCTCATGTAAGCAATTTTTCAAAAGGAAAACTAGACCATTATAACTAATGTGATTGCATCCCTGGAGAAAACAATTTGAACAAGTTATTTATAGACTTTAAGGTACATTGCATTAAATCTGAACATATAGATCCATAAACCATGCTAAATGGCCACAGATTTAGCTCACAGTTTTAGGTACACTGGAAGACAGCACAGTCTGCACTTGATTTGCAGTGAAGTGAAATGGATAAAACCAAAGGCAGCTGACAGAGAAGCCTGTTGGGTCAGGGATGTGTTTTACTATTCCTCCCTTCTCCCCATCACATTTGTTGAAAGGTACCATGTATATTTGAGGGAGTACAGACCAGAGAAACTGAGTACTTTGTTTGGACTATTCAGATGAACAGTGAGAATGATTTTCTGAAAATAGCATTTCTGTTCTTTATTTCATAGGAAATGAATATTTTTATGCAAATGAATGCAATAGAAATAATCACACAGTCATCTGCTCCAAGGGCTCATTTGCATGTCTATATTCAACATCAGTTTGCAATCTGCAGGAAATTTTTGTTTGCATTCCAAGGGCAAACTGAGGTTTTAACATGCCAGGAAAAGCAATGTGTTGGTTTGAAATGGACAGTTCTGAAGGCTTTGCAGAAATAAAGCTGCATTAAATCACACCAAGGCCAGCTCAATTATTCTTCTTAAATATTTGCCTCCCTTTTAATTTTTTTTTCCATAACCTTTTTTATAATCCTTTGTCTTGCTCCTACTTCTCAACACTTCTCTTCAATTTTTTTCCTGTGATCAGTTGTATTCTGTGATGGGTTCACTGAAGTTTACATCTGATTCAATGAGTTGAGTCTTTTTTACAAAAGGCTATTAATTAATATACATGAAGGCCAAATTCTCTTTTTTTCTAAATACAGTATATTTAAAGTGGTGTGAAGTATTGAGATGTAAAATTGTGAGCGTGTTTCTAGGCACTAAAATTTTGTGTAATTCCTATTTACACTTTTCATAAAATCTTATGTCTAGTATGTTTAATTCTATAAGACTATTTTTTATTTGCTAACACAGTAAATTTCATCAATCATCTAATATCAAGACTATTTTAGAATTCAACTTCAATTTTAACTTACCATTTAAAAGAAGTGTTGGGGGTTTTGGCAAAACTAGACATCTAATTTAACAAACAGGATGCACATTTTAATTAATTTATATATTTCTAAAGGTTTTCTATATTTTTGAACTTTGCTGATACACCTATGTATAAAATAAATGTAGAAATATTTCTCATTGTTAAAAAAAACCCAACAACACCTGAGACTAAGCAAACTACCTACACTGCTTCAGTAGCGTACTTCAGTAGGATTTTGAAAGGATAGAATACGTTTGCCAGTGATCATTTCATACATAATGTCCTCTTACCTCAGATGTCTTGTTCCTGGTTTTTAGCATTGTTATAGTTAACCCTTAAGAATCAAAACAAATGAAATATTAATTTGATGTTCTTAAATGGACTACAATTCAGATTCATAAATTAATTTCAAATTGTAGTTTGCAGGACTGTGCTTTAAATCTGCAGTGCAGAAAAAAGAAGTATGTTGAAATTTAATTGTGGTACTAAACTTCACAATTCCATTTTCCATAGAAAACAATAAAATACTATAATTTAAAAATATTTTAACACTAATAATTTAAAGAAATACTTCTCAATTGTAGATGTTTGCTAACTGAAGTATGTAGCTAGTCAGTATTGCCAGTATGAGGGAGAAAGATGTCATCACTCCAGGCACAGAGAACTACACTCCACATTTTTAGCTCAGTTTCACTACACAGAGTACCAGGAATGGTGAAATTTGTCATTGCCTCTCTTTAATTCCTTCATCCTGCAAACACACACAAACTTTTAATTAAAGAAGTGTATTGACATGGGTGAAGTCTCCCTGAAGACAGCAAAAGACATAAAGGGAATATGATAACAAATGTATAATTTTATATAAAATTTGTGACTTTTAAAATTGAACTTACTTTGTTGTATTTGTGCTTTTATTATCTGGAAAGTATCTAAATCCATAAATGATGTTGAAATGTTAGATTCTGGGCATGAGGTCTGTAGCAGAAAGCTGAAGTCAAAGCCATATCCCATGTCCTCTTTCTTTGAGTAGAAAGGTAAAGAAGTGTGATGCCTCCTGGGTAATGCTATCTGATTTTTACTTGGAAGACATGCCACTTGTTGGTCTGGCCATGCTCTGGATGTTGGTGCAATTTGGCTAAAAGGCAAAACAAAAATAACCAAAATACAGAGCAAAAATAAGTGGAAGGAGCCAGTTCAAACAATCATATGGCTGGAATAACGTGACCAAGAGGTTTGTAAGATCCCAGAATACCGAAGTGTCTTGTCTTTATTTATCTGTGGGGTTGTGACTCTCCCTGGAAATAGCAGACTGCAATGCAGAGGTTGACTACAAGTGAGATTGAATGACAAACAATGTCAACCAAGCAACAAGAGAGATGTAAAAACATATTGTTCACCTTCTCCTTCTTGACAAAAATTGATTGCTTCCAGTGTGTAGTTTTTATGAATCGTCAGGAGAGTGTCTCAGAAGAATTCTGAAGACCAGATGTGCCTTTGTTACTTACAAAATATGCTACAGCCTGCCTGAAAAAACAGAGGCTGTGTATACAAGCCTTAGTCTTCTGCCACCTGTTTTCTGAAGAATGAAAAATGTGGAAAAAGATAAATACTGTGACTGAGAAGAGGTACAAAAGTAGAGTATAAATTATTCTTAAAGCTGTATGCAAGATAATTGTCTGGTTTAATAAGTCAAACAACCACATACCATTTTTTTTAAATTTTACCAAATAATTTGTTTACCTAATGCAATATCCTCCCTCCAGAAGTGGCCAATAATTGATATTGGGAAGCAATAAACACTACACAACATAGAGCTGTAAATAATGTCTAGGAAATATTTTTCTTATTCAGGCTAAAAACTTTCTTTGTTGCCATTTTTGCACACCCAAGTGCCAATTAAATACTGATGCTTCTTACCTCGTTTTTCCTAGAGCTTTGTCTGACTGATGCATTTTTTCCACTATATTGTCTGCATTCCGAAAAGCAACAACACTTCCACAACCTGCAGTAATACATCAATATTGGCATAAAAGCAGATTAATTCCAGTAACGCATGGCAAATGCAGTTATTTTGGGGCATTAAAATAGCATTATAAAGAAGTAACAGGAAAATAAACAAGAAAAAGTTGCATTTCACTAATTTTTGTAATTCATTGATATGTTAATGTATAATTTTTAATTATTTTTATTTCTTTGGTAAGTTTATTAATTCAATGAGCTGCAAAAGCAAAGAACATCTTAAAAAATCAGTTACAGCTCCAATCTCAGGAGAACAGAAATAGAAGACAAATATTGACAGAAACCACACAGAAGCAGAGCATTTAAAAATACTAAAACCAAAGCAAATCTTAGGTCTTTACAGAGGTTAAAAGTAACTCTTTAATTTTGTATTTTTTATGGCTGCTAAGTTTTGACAAATACCCAGATTTCAAGTTGTTACTGTCCTTTTCCAGCTTCAGATCTACATTTTACAATTTAAACACACAAGCTTTGGAGACTACCTTTTTTGTTTCTCCTCTTATTTTGTTTGTTGTCAGACATACTGTCCTTAAATGTATTAATGCCCCGAAACCTGAAAAGAAAACTGTTAATTGATTTCCAATTTACATAATCAAAGTGTTCCGTTATATTTCATCATTTAAGAGACAAAAGTAAGACAAAAACATTTTAAAAGTACTTGAAATTATTAAAATAGCATATCAGTGGTGTAAACAACACAGAACAAACCTAAAGTGCAGACTGGCAAAGGAACATGACAGGGATAAGTCAAAAGACTGGGAGTTTTGAAATTCTAGAAAACTAATTCTTAAAAGAAAATAAATCCCAGTTCATAGTTTTGATGGATTTGGGAGTCTTCCTGAGAAACATAGTGAACTTCAGTTTTTCAAGTGGCAAGAATACAAATCAAAGATGGTGAAATGAGCTATAGAAGCCAGCACTCTTCATGTCTCATGCTAAAGGCCAGATAATCCATTACAACGTTCATCCCATTATGTTTGCCTGTTAAGAGTCAGGTGATGAACTTCCTACAAACTTCCCTTTTTTTTTTTTTTTTTTTTTAAATGCACAAAAAAACCCCTTTAAGATAATAACTGAGAATGTTCTGTAAAAAGGCAGACTTAAAATCTTACCTGGCTCTTCAGCAGCGAAATGTGAAAGAGGCGCATCAATCCAAAGGGAAATTAGAGAGCATTTTCAGCTCGCAGCTGCCTTCCTTTGCTGGCCAGCGAGGAATTCGACAGCAATTACACAGGTTTTGATTTTATTTTCGGCTGTTTCCCTGAGTGCGGAACACACAGGAGCCATTCCCGAGGCTCCCAAGGCACTCCAGCTCCGCGGGGCTGGTGAGTTTACAGCACGTCGCCCAGGTAACCGGGGGAACTTGGCTTGTTTAATGCAGAGACCAGCAGCGACCTGTGAAAACAAACACAGCCGAGCTAAACGGCAGCACTGCAGGCTCTAATCACAAATATCCCAGCACACAAACCAAACCCTATTTCTATTTTATATTTACCTCTCTTTATGCTTTTAGTACCTGGTATGTTTCCACGTAATTTTTACTTCGCTCTCAGTCCCCTCATGAGTATTTGTAATCCCCTTTCAAACCGCAGATTTTAAGATTATTTCCTCTTTTTATTTTTTTTCCTTTTTTTTCTCTTTTTTTCTTTTTTTTTTTTTAAGTAACAGACTGTGCTAAGGGGCAAGATAGGATAAAAGAGGTGTTTAAGGGAATCGCTTTGCTCGATGCCAGAAAGATTTCGCCGTTCCCCGGGTGACACAAGCGACGGGGAAGGTTTTGGATTAGGCGGGCACAGGGACACCAATCCTGGGGCCCGGCTGCATACAAGGGCTGTGTTACTCGTACATCTGAGGGAGCCCTTCTGGACTCTCGCTGACGCAGCCGGACAATCTGTAGGAGCAGCCCCCGCCTCAGCTTCGCCCCGGTGTGAAGGGACGGCGCCCGCGGGCGTCCCCGTGAGGGGCTGCAGCCGGCCGGGAGGAGAGCCCCACGGCGGGGACCCGAGCGAGGCTGTGCCGGGGGCCACACCGGGACTAGCGAGGCAACCCAGGACGTTGCGCTGTGAGAAGAAACAGCGCTGCGAGGGAGCGGGAGCCCAGAAGCGCCGGGCTGTGAGAAGAAACCGGGCTGTGAGGGACCGCCAGGCTGTGAGGGAGGTCCCGGCTTTGAGGAGGCGCCGCCCTCCACCGCGTTCCCGGCAGCCTCCGCCGCTGGGGGCCGGCAGCGGCGCAAGATGGCGGCGGACAGCGAAGTGAGTGTCTGTGCCGCTCCTCCCGCTCCCTGCCTGCTCCCCGACTCTCCTTCCCTGCTCCCTCTGCTCTCTCCGCTCACCGCCTCTCCCGCTCTCTCCCCGCAGCCCGAGTCGGAGGTGTTCGAGATCACGGACTTCACCACCGCCTCCGAGTGGGAGAGGTAGGTGCTGCCGCGCCCCTCGCTCGGCGGCGGTGACGCGGCCGCTCCCGCCGGGGCAGCCGGACCCCGCGGCGCGGCCGCTGCCTCGGGCCCGGAGCCCTGCCCGGAGCCCTGCCCGGAGCCTTTTCCCTTGTTCCGCCTCAGGCTCAGGCCGCGGCCGAGGAGCGGCTTAAGAGGCTCTAGTTGAGCTGCTTCTGAACTTAGTTCAGTAGGTCCGGTTTAATACCTGTTTGCAAGGGATTACAGTATACATTCAGAGGCTTATGTGTTTTCGAAGCAGCTGATTGTTAAGACAGTCATCTCATAGCCGAAGCCTTTAAAAGTTAGTAGAACAACGTATGAAGAAATTTAAGGCGAAGAACGCTCTTGCACTATGAATCTATTATTTTTTAAATGCTTTTGTCAGTAGTGATAACGTTTATGACAGGAGACAAGAGATTTCAAGTGCTGTGCTTTAAATCTGAATTTAGTGATAATTTTGTCTTAAATGTTTATCTATCTGTGAACAGCAAAACAGGAGTTAAATGTTAGGCACTGCTGTACCAGAAAAAGGTGAGATTCTTAAAACAGTCAAAAGATGCTTATAGCTCAAAGTAAGTAGCATGCAAAATTTAAGCATAGAAAGACTGTTTTGTGTACAAGGAAGCAGTTTTCCTGGCTTTACTGTGATACTTGTTGTGGTGCTTGTTTGTTTGTTTGTTCTTTGGGCTTTTCTAAGGTTCATGGTAGAACAACATGCTTCCTGCTTTGAGGTGGCTGAATTATAATACAGGTTCAGTGTTCAGCAAATATTAATGCCTTTTCTCCTCCCTAATAGATTTATTTCAAAAATAGAAGAAGTGCTGAATGACTGGAAGCTTATTGGGATTTCTTCAGGCAAACCTCTAGAGAAGGTCAGTTACTTCTTCTGAATTTTCCTGTAGAATTTGAATTGCTAATTAGTAATATAATAAGCCACACATGCATTTCATCTATTGCTGTTTTCTTAGGTGTGACAGATAATGACTTTATTGGGGAATTTCACTTGTAGAAGTGTCAATTTGACAAGCAATTACTCTAAATTCATTGGTAGGTCATCTGCCAAACAGGCTGTTTCCCTGACAAAGATGGATCTTTGTGTAGATTTGTGTTTTAATTCTCAGTTTGAATCTGGAAACATGCTTGAAGCTGCTCTAAATACTTAAGGAATCTTTCTGTCCTACCTTGTGCCTTTGTCACACCTCATGTACTTATGGCTGAGGTTTGCACAGTGCTATTTGTGACTCAGTGTGTTTCATAGATGGGAGAGATTTTTTCAGAGTCTTAATTAGAGCCTTTGTGATGCTTTCTCAGTCCTGTGAAATGCAGAGGAAATTGATGAGCTCTTCTGCATAGTAATGCAGATAAACTCAGCTGGTTTGTGTGGAATGGCTGCTGTGTTTCCAGGGGAATCTCACTGCTTTTCATTCTAGTCAAGTAGAGAGTATTTGGAATAAAACTTATGTTATCTAATGAACTGCACCTCAGCTATCCCTGTATTCCTGCATGTCTTCTTTTCTAGATCAGAGCTGTCTTCCTAACACGTTGTAAGATCAAAAGATTGTCCAATTTGCTTTTAGTAGGAGCAGTGGTGCTGATTTTTTTAGACATTCCCATGCTGTATTTTTATTTAAAAATTATTCTTACACAAGTTTTGTAAGTTGTAGATAAAAATTACCATTTGTTGGTGAAAGTAAATATCAAGGTAATGTTTACACAGAATAATTAATATATAGGTAAAATCCCAGGTGGGAAACTTCTGTCTCTGTGCAAAGTTGAGGGTGCATATCTTCAGATGTACAGTTGCATATGGGAGGATGCAAATCTTTATTGCCATATAGTTCTGAAGATGCAAGATGATATTTGATTTTTGGAATGAACATGATTATTGGCAACATGGATTTTAGCAGCCAGCTACCTTTATAATGAAGAGCTTTGAGAATTGCTTATTGAAATTAAATCATGCTGAGCCATTAGGCAGTAGAAAAATGTGAATCAACATTATTGATCACATAGGCAATATATTTTTAAAGACTAATGAACGTTAACCTAAATTTATGAGATACTATCTTCTTTTTTTATATGCAGGGTATATTTACCACAGGAACATGGGAAGAGAAATCAGATGAAATTTCATTTGCAGACTTCAAATTCTCAGTTACCCATCATTATCTTGTACAAGAACTCAGTGACAAAGATGGGAAAGAAGAGATGGGAGAAGGTACCTGATAGTTCCCTTCCATAGCTGTAAGGATAATGACAAAAGACAGTGTCAGAATGTGGAGTCCACATTGTGCTGTTTTGCATCTGTGTTGGATTTTCTGAGGTCTCATGAGTGTGGTCTGACATTTCTGTTTTCAGTTTGCTTTGCATTCACACAGTGCTAAAACAAGGCAATTGTGAGCTGGCTGGATGTGATGTTACATTGATTATGGATCAATTTTTGTCACAGATGCCCTTCCTCTGCCAATGCAGGACTTGCTGTGCATGAACAATGACTTTCCTCCTCGAGCCCACTGTCTGGTGAGATGGTATGTGTGCTGCCTCTCATCTCTACTGCAAATGAGCATAGCAGCTGGAAAATCTGGCACAATCAGTTGTATATTTGGTTTTTTTAAAGTTAAAGCCTAAGTAAAATGATTCTTTGTACTAGACACAAGAAAGGAATGCAAAAAAAGCCCGCTATAGTGGGCCTATCTTGAATTTGTTATTTACCCCCCTAATATTTGTCTCAATTTCATATATTAACCAGTCTTTTATATATGTAATTTTTTGGTACATTCTTACAAAAGAAAGCTGCACCACCTTAACAAACAACAATTATATTCTTAGTATTGCAAATCTTGAGCACATAATAAGATTGGTTCTAGAGAGATTGATTTTATGTTTAGACAGTTTTAGTCATTATTAACATAAACTGGAAAACCTCAGGACTGCTAGACCTGGAAGTCCTCCCAGTCAAACACATTACAGTGTTGGAATGCTGTTACACTCAGGTAGTTTGTGAGTTCAGGATCTGCAGCACTCCATGCCCACTCAGTTCTTGACCTCTCTAAAGATAAAGAGGTACTTGCATCAAGTGAACAGATTTCACGATCTGTTGGTGACAGTTAGGTTCTCCAGGTCACAATATTTTTTTTTTAAGAATCGTGGCTTGCCAGGGAATAGAAATGTACTTTTTTCTCTTTGTCTCTAAGGTATGGCTTACGTGAGTTTGTGGTGATTGCTCCGGCTGCGAATAATGATGCTGTTATTAGTGAATCCAAGTGTAACCTCTTGCTGAGTTCCATTTCCATTGCACTGGGCAACACTGGCTGGTAGGTGAAAGCATAAACCTTTTTACATGTCCAGGTAAAACTCCAGCATACTGCATTTGTGAGGAAAAAGTATTAAATTGTTAGAAAAGTACATTCAGAGGTTTTTGTTTATTTGTACTGTAATATTGTTAGAGAAGAATTGAAGAAATCCCAATATGTAAAGACTGAATCAATGTTTTGTTTATTTTTATTATTGTTTAAAAACCTTTAGGGCTGTTCAAAGCTACTAGAAGTTGTGGGAATAATGTGTAATTGATAAAACATCACTTTTGCAAGAGGATTTCTTCCCTTTGTGTAGTAACAGTAACTTCCTAATCTTCCTCAAAAATTATGTAGACTGAAAATGAGAAGTCATGGAGTGGGCTGTGATTATGGCATGGCAATTTGTTGGGCATTCTGTTTCATGATGACATTAACACTGATTTTCTGCGATTCCTGAGAAGTGTTTCAAGGTGTCTAAGAGGAAATATATTTTAAAGGACGAAATTATGTTGAAATTATGCTAGAATATTCAGCTAGCTTTAGAGACCACAAGACAGCAGGGCACTTAAATAACCTGAAGTATTCCTGTTTTGCAGTCAGGTGCCACTGTTTGTGCAGATCCATCACAAGTGGCGCCGCATGTACGTCGGCGAGTGCCAGGGCCCGGGTGTTCGCACGGACTTCGAGATGGTTCATCTGCGCAAGGTGCCCAGCCAGTACACCCATTTAGCAGGGCTGCTGGACATCTTCAAAACCAAGATTGTAAGTATCAAACTGATGTTATAGATAATTTCTGTTCAACCCCTAGAGTGTTTGAGAGGATTTACTCTTTACGTTGAATTTGTTCTCTGTTTTGAAGGGCTGCCCTTTAACGCCTCTGCCTCCAGTTAGCATGGCTATTCGCCTTACCTTTGTGCTCCAGGACTGGCAGCAGTACTTCTGGCCACAGCAGCCACCAGGTAGGAGACTTGTGTCCTCAGAATAACTCGTTTTCAGACAGCCAGTCAATGCTAAAGAAAATATTTGTTTATCTTACCAGAAGAATTCTAACATTTTCTGCTTTGCTAGGAAAGGCTTTAGTCTAATCCCACTCTGTATGATAGATGAGCCAGCTTAAAGCTGCTCTCAGGTTGTAGCTCATGGCTGGACAGGTGTTTTGGGCTCCAGGGCTGTGCCTGGAAACGTGGGCTAGTCAGCATTTAGAAATACAATGTTGTTTCTAAAATAGTGGTATTTATGTGGAATGAAA